GCTTGCGAGCCACATGCGGCTCTTTGGATGTGAAGCTGCGGCTCTTTAGTTCCATACGCAAATATTATTTATTTTATCAAAAAAAAAAAAAAAAATTTAAAACTATTCTATTACACAGAAACCAGAAGATGATTAGCTAAATTTTTAAAATAACAGCACTGTAATTAGATTCACATTCTGTTTTTACGTTATCGGTTAATGCGAAGTCCGCATTATACATTTAAAAAATGTATTTTTTGTAAAAATTTTTGAAAATTAAATTTTGAATTTTGTATATGTAAACTATCTGTTTGTTTCTCTTTATTTATGATGACCAATTTTATACTAGATTTATAAATTGTGTTAAAAAATTATTTAATATATAAATAGTAAAGTACGTATTGTTAATGAAATTACTTATTTTTCTACAGAAGAATGAAATACGAACCTGTAGAAAATTACAATTTTTTCTGATTTTTCTGGTAATATATATTACAAAAGATGGAACTACATGCGGTATGTAATTTACATTGTAGAAACTATAAATTCATTTATAAATAAACTTTTAATAATACATTCTTAATAAAAAATCAAGAAAACACGTCATGAATAAAAAGTTTTCAATACACTTCGATCACTCGTTTTATTCTATAAAAAAAACAATGTTGGATGGAGCTGACCAGTCGTTTCAGATTTATAGAGAAAGTTGCATAGCGTTATATTCTCGGAGACATCTGTTAATTTAAATTTCAATATACCCATTTACTCACCTTTTCTATTGTAAAATGAGTTGAATTCACACAGTTGTTATCTAATAGTGTAGAAGACCATCCTGAGTGTTGATTCTCTTCAACTATTCATTGCTCAGCATTACACTAATTACACTGCACACAGAAAACTTCCAGACTTATACTAAAGAAGTCAGGAAAATTCCAGGAACGTTTGCATTAACCAAATAGATTATATATAATAAAAACTTAACTATGATCTTCGAAATTTATACCATATTTTATACCACAATACTGTATTTTCCAATTTAATATATTACTTTAATTAACATTGCAAATGAAAATCAAGCTAAATATTCATGTTTTCGGTTTTTCATATGAAGCTTCAGAAAGCCAAATCTCGAAATTTGATAACGTTTACAATGGATTTTAAGGCTATTATTTTTTAATCATAAAATCAACCCGTGAAGCAACAAGTCGCCTTTGTAAAATCATCTATGAATTGAAAGGAACAATTAGAACGGAGAGTGAAAGCACACATTAGGTTCTACAGAAAAACAATATAGAAACCAGAAATGGAGAATCGATGTCGAAGTTAGAAGTCGAACTTTTTTATGATGGCAGAATCATTTCAGCTGACTCTCCATCTCTGAAAGAAGCAAACACAAAGTTCAAGAACCTCTGCTTGTCAATATTAACTTAAAATTTGGCTTCAAAAAAGATATTTTCCAGCTAATTTAAGACAGTGTTTAATGTCTTAACATATATTGATACAAAGTTAGTCAGAAATTTTTTTTCTGTCAGAACTTATATATTTCATTTTATCTTATGTGTCGAAGAGTAGTTATACTTTATTTAATAAATATTATTTTCTATCATTTGTGATAAAATTTACTTTTCTATTTAAATTGTTATAGTTTTAAGCATTTTACCATTAAATTATGATTAAATTTTCATGTAGAACACGAGTCAGCCAGAAATTCTACTAAAATAAAAATTACTACTTTGGCAGTAAGTAATTTGTCATCTAAAAACAATAAGGATATAAACAAAACTTTTATATAAAATTGTTTAAATAAATTTGTAGATTTCTCCTTATTGCGAAGTTTATACGAGAAATAATCAGTTAATTGTTGATGGTCCCGATTTTAAAATATTAAGCATAGTTGCTCAGAAATTAAAAAACATCAAGTAAGTAAAAAAAACAGTTTATTAACCGTAAATAAGGTATTTTTACGTGTAAATATATACTGATTTTTAAAGGTTCGAAATCATTCAACCCATTGAAAAGAAATTTGGAAGTAAATTAAAAGATGGATCATGGAATGGTATAATGGGAAGAGTGCAGAGAAAAGTAAGATAATACTATATATCATATATTATTTTCATTTAAATAAAGACAGGTTTATGTTTCGCTATAGAAATAATTACAATTATAATATGTTCAAACAATAACATTTTGATTAAAATGTAAAAAATAGATATATTAAACATGAAAAATTGTCTTCATTGTTTGTTATATATAATTGCCAGCGTAAGTGAAAAACAATTAAAACATTTTCTCTGCGAGGGAATACAGATTTTGTTTCTGTCATTTAGACACGATAAAAAGGATAATGACTTTGTTTAAATATAATAAATATACGTATAATTATACAGTAGAGCGTCGATTTTCCGAATCAATTGGGGACTGGGGTTGTCCGGATAACTGATATTTCGGATAACTGATTTATGTACGAAAAAATAGTTTAACGTATCCGATGTCGAAATTTTTATCCGTTGCGTGTCGCTTCACTTTGAATTTTCGTCAATGTTAAGCCTAACAATGACTTATGTATATATATATATACGTCATTTATTATTTTTATTTGTATTTAAATTTATATTCTATTTTATTTATATTCGAAATATCTCAGCCTGGTGATGGCCAATAGATTTGGCTGAAAACGTTTGCTTTTTCATTAAAGTTTCTCAGCAAATTAAAGTGTTATTTTGTTTTTTTAATTTACTTATGCTGAGTGAAAGTACCTCAGTTTTGATATAGATAAGATTATATTGCACTTGTACGCATTGTTATGCATGAAATGCTGCTAAAAAGTAAAAAAAGCGCTTTCTTTTGGGTGGAGGTCAAAAACGAATTAATCTGTTTTGCATCGTTTCTTATAAGAATTTTTTTTCGGTTTGAGAACAAATCGGTGGAATCGGAGTGGTAGGTTCTTACGCGACTCAACAGCCCTGGTAATAAAACTCATTTTGCAAGTTTGCGTTTTTTTTTTCTTTTTCATTTGTAGGAAAAATGCAATTTT